CCGGCAGCTCCTTTCGGTCGGGAGCGGGGGCAGCCGAAGCCCCGGCTGGTGGGGAGCTGTGGGAAGGAGGGCGAGTTCCGCGGGAGTACTGGGAGAGGCTCCCGTGCCAGCCCTCCCCTTACGGCTTGCCACAGGCTGGGAGAAACAAAACTGGTTCGTGTAAACCGTAAAGATGAAAAATCGCTGTTCAAAGAGATTTGCAACAAACAACAGAGAATTAAAGTCTTGGGGAGTTGTGAAAGGAGCCGGGGGTATCTAAATTCTGGGGTCAAAGGAATGCTCGTGTGGAACGTGAACTCAGGGCTCCGCAGAAGCGTCCCCGTACGCGGGGGCCGGGCGCGGGGCGGTGCCGGGGGCGCGGGGGGCTCAGGGGCTCCGCGGGGCTCGGGGTGAAAGGACGGGCGGTGCTGGGGGCAGAGCCCCAGAGCCCAGCCCCGGTGCTGCCAGTGCCGCCTCGGGTGCCTGCCGACAGCAAACGCTGCGATGGGTGCGGGGTGTCACCGGCCCGAGGCTGGGACCCAGCCCCGGTCATTAAGACTCTGACTGTACGGGGATGATTCCCGCTTCCATGAAGAAGAATTTTATCTTCTTGCATTTAATTTTGTCCCTTTGATCAGCCAGACCTCTCTGCCACATCTAGAGCTCACAAATGTGTTCTGGGGTTTTAGCACCGCTCATTTACACATTCACAGATGCCGGTACACGTCTAGGTTTCCCTTTCAAGCTCACGCTTTCTGATTAATTTCAGGATTTCTGCAGAGAGAGGACCCAATCCCGCCGCGGTTGTTGGGGTAAAATCCATTCAGCCTACCGGGGTGCAGTGTTGACCCCCTGCCCGGCCCCGGAGCGCTCGCGGCTGTGGGGGTACGGAGGGCAGCCCCGTGGGGTCCCTGCCGGGGAGCGCAGCTGTCCCCGCGGAAGAGGGTGTTTGTCAGCACAAGCTGCCAGGCTCTTCAGGAATCAGAGCTGATCAAAATATTGTAACTAGCATTCCTGGAGACATGTCACCCTTCGCCAGGATTGCGTGTCCCTATTTTTTTCAATCTATTTAAGAAAGTGTAAACAAACACTCTCCCCCACCCCACTGTGCTGGGGGAGCCGGGGGGGGGGGCAGATCCCGGGGGGAGCTCTCGACCCCCCTTTGGGGCTATCCCCTCTCTGGGGGGTTGGAGGTTTAACGCTGTGCTGATACAGAGAAATGATTACTTGTCTTGAGAGTTATTTACTTATTTACTTATAGAAAACTGCTTAGCAACTTATTTACTTATTTATAGCAAGTCATAGTTGGGTTTTTTTTAAATATTGCTAAGAATCCTGCTTGCCCAGACTGTTCTGTGGAATTTTACCAGGGACTGCTGTGTTCATCAAAACGAAGCAGTTCACTGTGCAAATCTACCAAGGATTACAAGGTTCAGCAAAATATTACACTTTTGTCCTTGAGTAACAGGTGCCCCTAAGTAGTTGGAATTTTGCTAATTAAAGATAGCCATGTATGAATGGTAGAAGTTCTTTTGGTTCTCTTAGATAGAAAGTAAACCGTCTGAAAAACACTCTTGTTATTCAAGAAATTGGCCAAGAGAATCTGCGCATGCTCCAGGGAAAAAAACAAAGTGAGAAAGACTCCGAGCCTTCCTCCCAAAGCCCCCTGGAGACACCCCCAGGAGGCGATGGGCAGGCGCAAGGAGACATAAACTGCTGACATCAGCCTTTCGAACTAACGCAGCCTTACTCCTGCATCTGTATGTTTGTGTGATGTGACCCAAGGACTATGGATATCCACACTCGATCGGTTTTCGGTAAAATGTGCCGTGGGTGTGCAAGCTTTGTGGAGAAATCCCCGTGCACCCCGGCCGGAGTAAACATCCCTGCTGTGTGACTCTATTTGAGCTGTAGAGTCTTTTTTCCGCAAAACAGTGCCAAGGAGCAGGAGACAGGACTAGAGCAGGGCTTTGGTGTCGCCGCCCTGACTTTGGGTCAGGTTTTATGCAGAATGTTTGTTCTGTTTCCCCTGGGCTTTTCCTGGTGCTGGAGGTCGAGCTCCCTCCTGCGCATCCTCACCCAGAGTGAATTCACTCCTTGGTATAAGATTTCCAATAAATTTTAGGAAATTATAATAAATACTTGAGTTGTACTGTATATTTTACAACCAAGCCAAATGTTTTTTTTCTTACCTTGATGACTGCAGCTTTTATTGGTAGCAGCATGACTTTCCATGTGCTTTCTGTAAGGTATAGTGGCTGATGCCTGAAATATAAAGAAGCCTTTAGAGTGATAATAACTCCAGATGATGAATAGTTATAAAAGGTAGATGGAATTGAAAGGCATTTTAATTTGTCATTATTTCAGTTCCAGAGAGCAGCTGAATAATTACACTGCCTGTGAAGAGAGAGGGTGTAATACTTTCTCTCATTATAGGATTAAATTGTCTTCCTTCCCTTTTAACGTAAGTGAAAATAAAGCTATGTCTGATACCGTCTGTTTTGATCATAATTTGAAAGCCCCAGAATGGCTCGTGCAACTTTGTTTTGTGGTGTTGGGTGCAGGGATTAATTATTTTAATATAAACCGCAAACACTGGACCAATTTCTCAAAGTGTAAACCTGAGACCGCCGGCGCTGGCCGAGTGAGAAATTCCTCATTGGCCAAAAGTGTGTTGTGTCACGAACCAGGCAAGTTTGGCAGGGTTTGGGAGGCTCTTAAATTTAAATTGAGAACCTAAAGCAAGTACACTTTTTTCAAATTGTTACAGCAATTTTCTTTCATAAAACAGAAAACTGTCCTTAAAATTGCAAATACATTTTAGGTAGAAAGAGTTTATTTATACGTTTTTTTTAGAATTGAAGCCTCCTCACTGCTCACATGAGAAATCCCTGTAGTCATGATGAGGAAAGTCTCAGGTTTGCCCCGGTGCTGGGATCTGCCGTCGGTGCTGGGTCACTGCGAGGGGTGGGGGCGCAGGGGAAGGGCGAGGTGCTGGGCGCTGCCCGGGCCGGGGCGCGGGCAGAGGTGTGGGCCGGGCTGGGGATGGGCAGGGACCGGCTCTGCCGCGGGGTGCCGGGGCACAGAGTGACCTCGGCCTCGTCTTTCTTGCAGCCTGAAGAACCAGTAGCAGCTCGTCGGCCGCGACAGGGAAAACCACGGAGGCTTCTCCTGCGGAGGGGACTGGCCGCGGGGAGAGGATCCTTCTGGGACAGCCACCCTGCGTGGATTCAATAATTAACATGTAACTAACCTTCGCTTTGGACAAATACATGGATTTTTTTTTTTTAATTTTATGGTGAGTTAAAATATTTCAATGGATTTTTTTACCCTTTCAAGATAATATTTATTCAGCACAGAGTCTAGAGTATGATAACTATCCTGTAAATACAGCACTTAATCATCACTCATCTTCGGAGACAGTGGAAACAAAATATTTTACTTTTTCATATTTATTCTTAGATTTCTCCCAAGAGTATAAAATTATTCTATTACTTTATCCATGATAGTGATGTAATCCGTCTTCAATCAGAAATAAACATACTTTCTTCAATTTCTCCAGCATGGTTTGTGTCAACACATAAAGAGCAGCAAAAAATGAATCACGGGGATTGTGTAACAGATGAATTTTTTCCTTTCCTCTCTGTCTTCAGAGAAACAAATGGTTCACTGAGCAAAGAAAACTAAAATGAAAGTGTAAAATCGTTTTCCTGCCGGTAGGATTCCTACAGGCTGGATGGAAACCGTTCGCTTTATCGACTTTGATGCAAACCCGAGGCCGGACGCTGCTCTGCAGCCCCCGGCAGAGCCGCAGGTGAATGGTGGCACCTGCTGGGCTGGCCCATGTGGGGGCCTCCCAGCACCATCCCAGCACCATCCCAGCGTGTCCCAGCACCATCCCAGCACCATCCTAGCGCCATCCCAGCACCACCCGAGCACCATCCCAGCTCACCCGTATGGAGATGGCAGAGAATTGTCGGGGCCGGCGGAGGGGCGGCGTGTGGAGGCTGGTCTCAGGACGCCGAGGCCGACGTCGTGTGTCCCCGGAGCCGCCCTCACCTGGGCCGGGACCCACAGTCGGATGAGCCCTCGCCAGCCTCGGGGGTTACCGCAGGGTGAGGGGAAGGGACTGCAGCCTGGGGGTCCTTACTCACAGGGAGGACAAACTCAAATGGATTTGAAGAGATCAAAAATTGACCGAAAACCAGCCTTGACTGTCCAAGCGGAATGCTGTTCAGCCCCCAGCTGGTCCCAGTCCCCAGCAGCTGGTGCTCATCTACAGGGAAGGGGTTTATTCCTCACTGGCTGTAGGGGAGCAGAACCAAAATAACCCCATCCCCTGGAAAGAGGGAGCCCACAAGGATTTTAGTTTTCCTACTGCAGTCAGCACAAAGAGACCAGGTTTCTTACCGAACCCCCGCAATGCGAAGAGCTACAACAAACCACCCGGTTTCACGTGGGTACCACGAGCAGCGCGGAGCAAACCTGGCTGTGCCCTGCATGAGGGCGCTTTGCATGCAGAGAGCCTGTCTTGTGAATGCTGCCAGACATTACGCACCACCTTTTTAAAGAGAAATCTGGTTGTTTTATGTATGTGTGGTCGCACAATTCTTCTGAGACCGTGGCCATTTCCCTGCTTCTGCACCGCTGAAGTAACAGGTTTTGACATTTCCTCTTCATGCACCCGCGGCCAGGGGCTCTCTCGTGGCTTTGGAACGGAGCAGTGACGTGTGCGGGTCCATCAGTTCATCTACCAGGAATCCCAGCGAGGTGCAAATCCACTTCTCCAGCCTCTAGAGGAAGAGCAGTGACCTGCTGCTGCTGGCTCTGCACTGGGGAAACTTTAATCCACCCACAGCTCACGACCATGGCCTGCAGGTTTGTGAATTTTCTGCCCAGTGAACAAATCGTACATAGGTGATTAATCTGTGTCCTCCATCCGCTCTTCTGCACCTTAATAAACCAAAGCAAAGCAAAGTGTCTTGCTCTGCATTTTGGTGCTGAGCAGCGCTGTGTGTTCCGGATGAGAGGCGTTTGGGCACGTCACTGGGAAAACTGCCGTTGTGATGCAAATGTAATGTTGTATGTTCATGGAGTTCTTGCTGTGACCGTGTGTTGGTGATGGGGCAGCCCTGAGACATCGGGCCGTGTCGCAGAGGGTGCTGCAGGCTGTTCCGGAGCCCCGGTCTCTCTCGCTCCGAGGTTTGTACAGCAGAGGGTCCTCCGTGGCAGGCGTGCACATGAAATCAAGGCAGCTTCACGGCAAGCCTGCCTGAACCATATTCTGGGGAAAGGCAATATTGAAAGTCATGAAGCCTCAAGGCAGCACATGCTAAGGAGTAATTGTCCTGAGGCCAGTGCTGGTACCTGTAGGACTGGGTCAGTACAGGCAGTTCTACTTGTAAATGAGCCCTGGGGTGGAGCAGGAGCAGGCTCCCCGCGGAGGGGACCTTGAGCTGCCAGAGGAAGAAAAATAGTCTTCATCTGCTGCTGACAGGGTTCTGTTTTCCATCTCCCTCCCTACCCCGGGAAGAAGTTCATCTTGGTGGCCGGTCTGGGTGTGACACCCGCAGGGAGCGGCGCCGGGGGAGGCTGCTTTGGCTTTCCTTGGCAGTGATAATTGTGTGTCACTGGCTTCTTAATTACCGTCTCATCTGGGACTCTGCAGTCCCTCACTACCTCACTGCTGCGGTCACCCTTTTAATGAAACAAACCTGGTTTTGTTGTGGAAATGATTCTCTTACCTTGCAGAGGCAATTAAAAGCCCAGACGGAACAGATTCATTTTTAAAAGTCTCTTCCCAAATCTTCATGAGAGAAGAGAAATAATCCTCCTAAATGAGGAGGAAGATCAATAATAAATGTTGCTCTGTGGAAGCCCGTGTTAAGTTGCCAGCAGTGAGGACTAGACCCCTTCTAGTCTAAGAAGAAATGAGACTCCTGTGATTTGGGTTTGGGGGTTTTTGCCATAACAAACGGGATCTGCTTGCAGATATACTGAATAGGCAACGTTCAGTGCTTTATCTTCATTTGGCATTTAATCAAAGCAACATGCTACATATTTATAATAGCTGGACTAATTGACTTGACAGAACAGAGCAATCCTGTTGGTCATCTTCATATTTGGTGAGATGAACACAGATACCATCGTGTGTGGTGACAGAGGTTACAGACAGTGTGGGACAAAGTCCCTAACTCGGATGTTTGAGATGTGACAGGTAGGAGACAGACACAAAGCTCACATTGAATTTTAGTTTGCTGAACTGTCCTTAGCTGCCTTGAAAATCTTTCCTGTTGCATTCGCATAGAATCACATCATAGAATGAATCACAGACTGCTTTGGGTTGGAAAGGACCTTACAGCCCACCCAGTGCCACCCCCTGCCCCGGGCAGGGCCACCTCCCACTAGCCCAGGTTGCCCAGAGCCCCGTCCAACCTGGCCTTGAACCCTTCCAGGGAGGGGGCAGCCACAGCTGCTCTGGGCAGCCTGTGCCAGGGCCTCACCCCCCTCACAGGAGAGAATTTCTGCCTCAGATCTGATCTAAATCTCCCCTCTGTCAGTTTAAACCCGTTCCCCCTTGTCCTATCCCTCCCCCCTGATGACAAGTCCCTCCCCCCTTTCCTTCAGCCCCTTCCAGCCCTGGGGGGCTGCTCTAAGCTCTCCCCGGAGCCTTCTCTCCTCCAGCTGAACCCCCCAACTCTCTCAGCCTGTTCTCACAGGGGGGCTCCAGCCCCCCCAGCATCCTCGTGGCCACCTCTGGCCCTGCTCGAGCAGGTCCGTGTCCTTCTGCTGTTGGTGCCCCAGAGCTGGACCCAGCACTGCAGGGGGGGCTCACAGAGCAGAGCAGAGGGGGAGAATCCCCCCCGCCCCCTCCCCCTTGCCCTGTGCCCACCCTGCTCTGGGTGCAGCCCTGGGTGCTGTTGGCTTTCCGGGCTGTGAGTGCCCGTTGGTGGCTCACAGGCAGTTTTCCACCCCCCAGCCCCCCCAAGCCCTTCTCCCTGGGGCTGCTCTCAACCCACTCCTCGCCCAGCCTGGGTTTGGGCTTGGGACTGCCCCAACCCATGTGCTTAGTTTAGCTTAAGTGGGGTAGGGAAAGAGAGAGAGAAGCACCAGTCCTTTTCCAAGTTGGTGGTTAATGCTCTCGGGTGTGGTGAGTGGTGGCAGCTTGTGGCCCAGGGGATGCTTACAGACACAAAACCTTATCTCCTCAGTGCTCTCACCTCTTCTTCACTGACTCTTGCTGATTTCATGTTTCGTGTTTAAAATATATTTTATATAAACGTGGGGGTGACTTGTGTGCCCCTCTCTGCACATGTCTACGTGTGTGACTCTTTCACATATCTGCCATTGTGGAGGCTCCTGCCTGAAAGCTGATGGCAGAGGGGAGTTACCCCTGCCCTGCACTCCAGCTCTACCTCCCAGTGCACCAGCAGCATCTCATTTCCTCTGCCTTGCTGGGGGACCCGAGTCAGAAGAGAGACCTTTGCTCTTCCACATCCCAGATTCTGCCTGGAGCTCGGCTCCTCGGAGCCTCGGTGGCGCTGCGGGGTGTGCCTGTGCCCTGTCTTGGGGAGGGAAGGGTCAGGTGTGCTGCAGAACCCAATTGTTTACTCTCTGGGGACAGTAAAGGAGACTGGAGAAGCTCTCCATGATTAATTTGTGCTTTTGCATCAATGCCTTCCATGTGTGGAGGAGAATGGGCTGGTCACAGATGAGTAAGCATCTCCTTAGGTTTCATAGCTGTGGGGCTGTTCCATTTATTGTGTTTTGGGTAATAACGTAAGACACCAATGTTTCTGAAGCTAAACTGCCTCTTTACAGAGAGAATGATTTACAGGAATTGGGCACATCAGTCATGTGTGTGCAGCCTGGCTTTGAGCCTCCTTCCCTCCAAATCCTTCCTGCAGCCCGTGCACCTTCCCCAAGCTGCACCCAGGGTGCTGCAGAGGCAGCTTTGTTGGGAGAGAAAACAACATCTTCCATCTTGTGTGCTCAAGTGATCACTACAAGCTAATTGCAGCAAATTAATTACAGCACAAACACAATTTCTTTCCCTAGGCAGGTGTGTAGACAGCTCTGATGCTGCTGCAGTGAGCGGGGCTGAGCTCAGGCTCCGACCCCCAGCCCGGAGCAGCCCGGCTTGGCCCGGCCCTGGTGGCTTTGCTTGGTCTCACGGAACGGCCAGAGACAGAGGACCTGTCTCTCATTTAGAAAAATCTAGATTTTTATGCCACAGACAGACAGTTTGTCCCGTGAGGCTGCAGGGGTGGTACAGAAATGCAGGAAGGCCACGTCCACCCCGCCCAGCCCTGGTGAGCAGGAGGTGTGAGGGGAGAGTGAGGTGCCCCGTCGCCTCCCCTGCTCCGTCCTGCTTCAAACTGGAGTCACGAGGGCGGCGCAGTATTGTGTGTGTTGCCAAGATTGTGCTGGTCCAGTCAATCAGGCTTTGGTCCCTAAATCCTTCTAAGCTCTTGCTTTTCCTAAGTTCATTAGGCCTTCAAAGCAAGACATAAAAGACAAATCTCCTAGTGGTAAGGCAGCGATCCCTACAGAAATGCCGGCAGATTGCCGCTCTGCTCTGATGTCGGGACTAGCCACCACCCCGGGCCCCAGCACTGCGTGGATGTTAGAGACCCGTGGAAATGGATGCGGTGCAGCGACTGCATCCCCCAAGGTTACTTTAAATTGA